TAATTAGAAATGCATTCAAGCCAGCTTGAACATCATGGTTGGTGGGGGGGCATATATTTTAAATAAATAAATACAAGTTGTAGAAAGATTTAGGACACAGATAAATTGCACTGACTTCCTTGAGATAATGATATAATCGAGGAGAATCATCACCAGAAACTGGGAAAAAGTAATAAGCTTGTTACAGACTATTCACCCACTATGACCTCTAGCAAAGGAGCACAATGGGTGTACCAAGTAAAAAGCATTCTGCTAAAACAGGATCCCTTTAAGTAAGAAAAGCTGTACTTTACATATTGATACACACACACACACACACACACACACACACACACACATATATATATATATTCCAGCTGGACTCGCTTCTCTCCTGCTTGTCCTTTTCTTTTCCAGCCTGATTCGCAGAGCCAAACCACAAGTTATGTTATTGATGGATTTGCCACAGGGACATGCAGCCAAATGCTAGCTGCAAAGGTTCCCATGAGAACTCTATTTAGAAGTCACTCAGAGGTCTGATTCTGGTTCCCCAGTTCTATTTTGGGCCTGGAAAACAGCATGGGATATGGTAGGACCTTTCCTCTGCCCACACCATAGTCTCAACCAGAATCAGATCTCTCCATGACTTCTAAACAGAGTTCCATTGGGAGTTTGCAGGTCGCTTTTGTCTGCAAGTCTCCATGGCAACTGGTCAACAGGGTAATGCGTAATCTGACCCTCAGTAATAATCCAAAACCACAATGAACTTCTATTTGTACACACAGCTTCACATGGCAAGGTCACCCCATTCATTTAAGCACAACAAATGTTCAATGTGCACCACCTAAGTTTTCGCAGGATAACTTCTGAGAATGGCAAATAACTTTATTTAGGATGGAGAAAAGGTACTGATGGATGAAACACTGGAGAAGGAACACTGGAACTAGGAGGGGGAAAGTATGAATGAATGAGATATATCAAGAAAAACTGGAATGCAAGTAGAAGAAAACTGCTACTATGCAGCAGATAGGCTATGAGTAAATTTCCTCTAAGTTAACCAAAGAGAAGTATATATAATAATGAGATCTGCCACACATAAAATCAGCTGTGCAGTCCTAAGCAGAGTTACTCTAGTCTAAGACCATTGACTTCAGTGGGTTTGGAAGAGTGTGACTTTGCTTAAAATTGGCTTGCAATGGAAACATCAGGAGCACTTTGAAAACTGACATAGGATGAAAGTGTTTCTGTAAAATAATTGGAATGGCAAACATGTGGTGCACTTAGGCCTTGCCTCTTGCATTCTCAGAATTTTGCTTAAAATTGGACAGCAGAACGTGACATCTCTAGAAAAAGTAATATTCTTCACAGATTCTACAGGCATGATAAAATCCAATCCCTGGATTTTATGGGTTTATTTTGAGGATTTTCAGTTACACATCTCGGAGTAAGTACTTCTCAATCATCTCACCCTTAGCAAAAGTGGGATAGTCAGATTCATGGAAGAGAGGTCCATTGATGGCCCTTACCCATGCTGACTAAAGGGAGCCTACATATAGAAAGGTGGTAAACCTCTGAATCCCAATGTTGGGAGAAAGAAGCAGGTGAATGCCTCTATGCCCTATTTGGCTCTCCAGGAAAATGACTTAGTTACAGTGTGAAACAGGAGACTTGACTAGATGGACCACTGGTCTGATCCATCAAGCTCTACTTATATTCTTATATTCTAAACTTCTACTTCTAAGCTGGGCACATTATGTCCTAACCTTTGCATTATTTCTCCTCTCCTTCTGCCTTACCCCCTGTGGAGAAACCTCCCCACTCTGAGTTTTTAAAGTGTTTTCCCCCCTCTCTGGAAGTGACAGAAAGCCAGTTCAATTGCCTGCCAAATTACATCTATACATATGCTAATGCCCTGGTAGTAAAACTAAGTAAGGAATTTGGTGCTAGGAAGTCTCCAGGTGATTCCTAGGTATTTCCCAGAATGCCTTCCAGGAGGGCTCCCAGGATGCACCTGCAACATGAGCAGACTGGATCAAGAGGGTGGCGGAATGAGGTAAAGTGGGTGGGGGCAGAGGTTAAGAAAACTTTCCTGCAAGGGGAAGAGGCTCTTTTCCTTTGAAATGCAGCTGGCAGAAAGACTGTGAGCTGGGGCCTGCAAGCAGGCAGCCATTTTTGGCCATGCAGTCAAGTCTGCAGGGCTGAAGAATGGTGGAAGGTAATGGAAGATTTTTAGAGAATTAGGACATCTAAGATAAAGAGCCTTTCTTAATTTTAACATCTAGTTATGGTGTGTTTTATTTATTTATTTATTTGATTTATACCGCACCCTCCCCATCAAAGCAGGCTCAGGGCAGTTTTTGTTTTACCAATTTCTTTGTTCTTCCTTGCTTTAATCTGGCATGGTGCTAAAAGTATGCTAGTAAAAAATTTCTTTTTAATAATAAATACTTTAAACCTTTAATCCTGGAAGTGGTTCACTGTACCACACTGTTTTGGACATGATAGTTTAAAAGAG